CCTTTCTTGTCGCTATTCGTGTTATGCGGCGGCATTTCCAGCCTGATTCAACTTTCACGAGGCGGTTGTCTGGAATCGGTTTCCATCAGAAAGGATACTCCATTAAGATAGCTACAAGATAACATAGGAACGCTAGCTGTAGATTTAGAAATTAGTTTGATTTTCACCGCCTAACCGTCCTCACTTGCATCTAACAAGTGCCGGCACCCAACTTATGGGTCAATTATAAGCATTTAGATTGCGGATTTTAGAACAAAACTTCGTAGGGGGTTAGCCTAATGTGTTTTCCATCTGACCTCCAAAAAAGTAGTCAATTCATTGGGTAGTTCCGGATTTATGAAGGTTTTTCCAAGCCACACTCTACACGACGTCGCGCGATTTAGGTCCACTGCAATGTCAGCTGATGTGGAGGCGCGACGGGGGAACCCTGCCCGCTATATAAGAGATTGCGGCGGTGGCTTTCCAACACGTTGTGAACTCGTTCTAAATCGTGATGTCTGCTCCAGTTGCTGCTGCTCCCAAGGTTTCCAAGCCCAAGGCTGCCAAGAAGCCTGCTTCTCATCCCACTTATTCGGCTATGATCCGTAAAGCTGTCTCTGAACTGAAGGAAAAGTCCGGATCGTCTAAAGCTGCTATCCTCAAGTTTATACTGTCTCACTACAAACTTGGAGAAAATGTGGTTAAGGTAAGTCTCGAGTCCGTCTTCCTCTGAATGGGAATTAATTTGAACAGGATTTCATTACTCGTGTTTCCAGATCAACTCTCAACTANNCCAGCTATATGGGCGGCCATCAGGAGTGTAAGGCCCCGATGTGAACCAGAGTGACAGGATTCGAATCCCATTGTGTCGATGGTAAGCTGCTTTTCGAGATACACCTCCGCTGAATCATTACTGTGATAGGAATGTATAGAAAACTCTGAAAAATAGAAGTTTCCCCTTTCAAAAACTTGATAGAACTGAGTTGCAAATCGAAAATCCTTGGCAGGCATGTCAGCCTCTCTGTGAAGAGGCACCTCGGCGCTGGTTTGCAGGAGTGGTTCTGAAAACCAGTTACCGTAAATAAATGCTGACTTTGACGCTCTTCTGATAGAAAATAGTCAAAACAACATCTATTCCTATTCTGCTAAGCATTTATTTTCAGAGAAAAGTCAAAGTTGGTTTATCGCTGCATCATGATTACTGGAAAGTACATTTAAGTAAGGATAGTTAAATTTCTCATGGAGAAGCGGAATCACTCCCATTTTTAGTTTGATAAGTTTCCTTTTCACAGAAAAACACCCCAAGAGAAGATCTTTTTCTGAAACCTCCCTTACCCTTTGAGGCCAGGGTTGTATGCGACGACTGGTCGAGTGCAGTGCTATAGGGCTGGGTGCAAAACAGCAATAAATTGCTGAAAAACTGGTTATACTGTAGAAGCGGGGAGAACTTATCGAGAATTTTATAAATATAGGACCTTCTCTATCCACAGACCAAATTTGGTTGCTGTACTACCATTGGAACCTATAGAACTGGACCCTTTCTTGTCGCTATTCGTGTTATGCGGCGGCATTTCCAGCCTGATTCAACTTTCACGAGGCGGTTGTCTGGAATCGGTTTCCATCAGAAAGAATACTCCACTTAAATAGCTACAATATAACATAGGAATGTTAGCTATAGATTTAGGAATTAGTTTGATT